CTGAAAAACCTCCAGCTGCTCACACACACCTCTCTCCCAGGCTCTTTTTCAAGCCTCCACACTCACACACGCTCTGCCCCTTTTTCCAAAGACGCACATAACTTTTTCTGCTTGGCTCCGCCCACTTCTCACTCTCCTGAGCTAGCCTGCCTGGTCTCCTTGGCAACGCTCACTGTGGATTCAAACCAGATAACTCTAGTTTTAGCTACTGTTACAAACACAAATATATACTCTAACAGTTAAACACATACATAGTATCAATGACTTCTGCACAACATTAATATGGAAATGATACCTTACACTAGTAAGAATAGCAAATATAAATAAAAACTACTCAAAAAATTGCTGGAGAGGATGCCAAAAATCAGGAACATATATACATATGTGGTGGCAATGTAAATACGTAAATAATTTTGGGGGGAAAGTATTTAGAGAAATAGAGTATATAATGAGCATTAAAATAGAAAGAAGTCCTAGTATAGCTTTATTATCATTATATAATAATAAACAATTGAAAAAAGAGGATAAAGATGTGATAACAAACACCAACAACATGTCAGACTACACAGAGAAGCCATTGAAATCCACAAGAAGCATGTGGACAATTTCAACAGAAAGGAAGAGACCATGAAAATGAACAAAATCTGGCTACCAGTATTAAAAAACTCTAAAATTACAACAGCAAAACAGCAGAGAGGAAACAACCAGGCACATCTTAACACCTCTCAGCAAGAGATTTTCCCAGGCTCAGGCAGGCCTTCAAATGCTAATGAAGGTGGTCAGTTGAAACATTCACACCTAGCTCCAGCAGAGAAAAGCTCTTTGCCACACCCTAGCCATTCCACAGATATATAAACCAATTGTCCTATTTCCAACAGACCTCACTACCTCTGAGGATGCTTGCCATAGATGCAGGCGAAACGTCAGGAGAAATGCCTCTAGAACATGGCCCTATAGCCCAAAAAAAATCCACAAGAACCTAATTACACTTTAATTGTAATTGGACATCTAATTGTAAAAGGACATCTAATCACCTCTCAACAAAGGTTTGCTCCAGGCACTGTCAGGCCATTATATGCTAATCAAGGTGGTCAGCTGAAACATTCACACCTAGCTCCAGCAGACAAGAGTCCTTTGTCCCACCCTGGTCATTCCACAGATATATAAACCCTTTTCCCTAGTTCCAACAGACCTCACTACCTCTGAGATGCTTGCCATAGATTTAGGCAAAACGTCAGGAGAGAATGCCTCTAGGCCATGGCCATATAGCCCGAAAAATCCTACAACAACCCAGAGATTCCGGCCATGAAAACCTTCGACAATACAGTTACACTTTTAAGTTTCTGCAGCCTTTGGAACTCTCTGCTGCAGGAACGAAGGGAACAAATAATAATTTTGCCCAGGAGGGGGGGTTCCATGCATGCCACATGATTCTAGCTTCCCTCCTGGCCGCGCGGGCCTCCCATGGAAGTCCCATGTCACCAGAAGGGGAACCAGGTTGTGTTCTTGAGTGGAAGGGGGTGTTGTGGTTCCTGTTTCCTGTGTGGTGGTGTGGGGCTTGCGTGTGGCGGGAAGGGAGGCCGGGCAGGCCCTCCTCCTGGGGTTCCCCACCCGCTCCTGAGTCCTGCCTTCCTCCCTTCCTTCCTTGGGTGGGAGCAGCAGGGCTTCCCTCCCTCCCTCCCTCTGGGGGCTCCCACCCAAGTCCCATCCAGGGCTGTCCCTGCTCAGCCTCCCAGGCCGGCCAGGAAACAGCGGGTGGAGACCTCAAGGGGACTCAGGCCGGGCAGACCCAGAATGGGGGACCACGTGGTGTTGTTATGATGGCTGATGCGGGACCTGGGCGACGTCTCCCTCCCTCTCTCTCTTCCTCCTGAGTGTTCAGCCTGGGAATCAGGCATGTAGTGGGGGGGGGGGGCGCGCGGGGGCTTCACCCCCCCCCCGAAATTTTCATGGTGGTTCCCGAAAAGGCCTTATTGGTGCATTATTTAAACTGTTATGTTTATTCATATCATGATCTGATCACCATACTCAATATATTATTTATTTATTTACTTTACTTGTATACCGCAGTTTCTCAGCCCAACAGGCGACTCAACGCGGTTTACAACAAGGATAAAAATCAGACAAAGATATACAATTTAAAACCCTAATAGCATGGTATACAATATTAATATAACAATAAACAACACAATACATCTCATAACTAGAGTCGTGATCCAGTTCGTCGTCCGTTTTTCCATTCCTGTATCATAACATTCATTGCACTGTTGGTCCGAATGCCCGCTCAAACATCCAAGTTTTTAATCTTCTTCGAAACACCATTAGTGAGGGGGCTGATCTTACCTCCATAGGAAAGGCGTTCCACAGCCGGGGGGCCACCACAGAAAAGGCCCTGTCTCTCGTCCCCGCCAGCCGCACCTGTGAAGCAGGCGGGATAGAGAGCAGGGCCTCCCCAGAAGATCTTAGGGTCCTGATAGGCCGAGATACGTTCGGATAGGTAGGTTGGGCCAGAACCGTTTAGGGCTTTATAGGCCAACGGCAGCACTTTGAATTGGGCTCGGTAGCAAATCGGCAGCCAATGGAGCTGGTGCAGCAAAGGAGTGGTATGCTCCCTGCGCTCCGCTCCTGTTAGTATCATGGCTGCCGAGCGTTGGACTAACTGCAGCTTCCGAGCCGTCTTCAAAGGCAACCCCACGTAGAGAGCATGGGGGTATTGGGGTAATGGTGCAAAGATGAGTGCAGATGCAGACTGTGGCCAGGAAATCAGAAGACGCTTCCTTCTTGGGAGGAGAGCAATGTCCAGTCTCGATAAAATAGTGAAGAGTAGAGACATCAGACTGGCAACAAAGATCCATTGCCTAGTCAAAGCCATGGTCTTCCCTGTAGTCACCTACGGATGTGAGAGCTGGACCTTATTTATTTATTTATTTGCTTTACTTCTATTCCAAAAAAGGCGACTCAAGGCGGTTTACATAGTAAAGTTTGACACAACACCAAAAAGCAGTTAAAACACATTATACAAAACATATCAAAACAAGCAATCATTAACCTAGACGTGCGCCTCAGCAAACAAATCAAAATCAGAATCCGCAATCATAATCCTTTATACCAATTCCTATGTCCGGTTGTACCATCTTACTGTGTTTCATTGCACAATTAGCCAAACACTTGTTCATAAAGCCAGGTCTTGACCTTCCTCCGGAATGCCAGCAGTGAGGGGGCCTGTCTGATGTCCACAGGTAGGGCGTTCCACAGCCGGGGGGCCACCACCGAGAAGGCCCTGTCTCTCGTCCCCGCCAACCGCGCCTGCGATGCGGGCGGGACCGAGAGCAGGGCCTCCCCGGACGATCTTAACGTCCTAGTCGATTCATAGGAGGAGATGCGTTCGGAGAGGTAAGTAGGGCCAGAACCGTTTAGGGCTTTATAGGCTAAAGCCAGCACCTTGAATTGTGCCCGGTAGCAGATTGGCAGCCAGTGGAGCTGGCGCAACAGAGGAGACCTTAGGGAAGGCTGAGCGAAGGAAGAGAGATGCTTTTGAGCTGTGGTGCTGGAGGAAAGTTCTGAGAGTGCCTTGGACTGTGAGAAGATCCAACCAGTCCATTCTCCAGGAAATAAAGCCTGACTGCTCATTGGAGGGAAGGATAGTAGAGGACAAAGTTGAAGTACTTTGGCCACATCATGAGGAGGCAGCAAAGCCTAGAGCAGTGTTTCTCAACCTGGGGGTCGGGACCCCTGGGGGGGTCGCGAGGGGGTGTCTGAGGGGTCGCCGAAGACCATCAGAAAATACAATCTTTTCTGTTGATCATGGGAGTTCTGTGTGGGAAGTTTGGTTCAATTCTATCATTGGTGGGGTTCAGAATGCTCTTTGATTGTAGGTGAACTATAAATCCCAGCAGCTACAACTTCCAAATGTCAAAGACTATTTCCCCAAATTCCACCAGTATTCACATTTGGGCATATTGAGTATTCATGCTAAGTTTGGTCCAGATCCGTCATTACTTTAGTCCACAGCACTCTCTGGATGTAGGTGAACTACAACTCCCAATCTCAAGGTCAATGCCCACCAAACCCTTCCAGTAATTTCTGTTGGTCATGGGAGAACTGTATGCCAAGTTTGGTTCAATTCCATCATTGGTGGAGTTCAGAGTGCTCTTTGATTGTAGGTGAACTATAAATCCCGGCAACTACAACTCCCAAATGACAAAAACAATATTTTTGAGTGATGGTCACTCTTGTGCGTATCGGGTATTTCTGCCAAATTTGGTCCAGTGAATGAAAATGCATCCTGCATATCTGATATTTACATTATGGTTCATAACAGGAGCAAAATTACAGTTATGAAGTAGGAAGGAAAATAATGTTATGGTTGGGGGACAACATGAGGGACTGGATTAAGGGGTCACAGCATTAGGAAGGTTGAGAAACACTGGCCTAGAGAAAACAATGATGCTGGGGAAAGTGGAAGGCAAAAGGAAAAGGGGCCGAGCAAGGGCAAGATGGATGGATGGCATCCTTGAAGTGACTGGACTGACCTTGAGGGAGCTGGGGGTGGTGACGGCCGACAGGGAGCTCTGGCGTGGGCTGGTCCATGAGGTCACGAAGAGTCAGAGACGACTGAACGAATGAACAACAACAATTGGGGTAATGATACAAAAGGTTTGCTAGGGGAGACCCTCTTTCACTCAGACTCAGCCCCCCCCCCCCCCAAACGAAATCCTGGCTACGGGCCTGCTGGGAATGATCCCTACTAGCCTGGGCTTGGGAGCTGCTTGAGCCTCACAAGGGAGAAGGGAGGGCAGCACATTCCCTGAAGCCAAGACAGCCTGGCAGGAGAGAGAAGGAAGGAGGGAAGGAAGGAAGGAGGGAAGCCCAGAGTGGGAGGGAGGGAGGGAGGGAGACCCAAAGGCCACCCAGCCCCGCCCCCTTCTGCCGCGCAGGCCCCGCCCCTTCTGTAAGTCACGTGGCCACGTCGTCACCCAGGCCCCGGCGCCTGCGCAGCCGCCATTTTTGCGAGGAAGACAAGGAAGGAAGGAAGAAGGAGGTGAGAGTTGCTGTTGTTGTTGTGGAGCCTCTTTGGCCCTCCTCCTCCTCCTCCTCCTCCTGTGTTTCCCATCCGGGACCCCTTTGGGCCTCTCCCCACTCGACCAAGACAGGCTGAGGCGGGCCAGGGATTCCTCTCCTGCCTCTTTGGCCTCCTTTGTGCTGCGGGCAGGGCTGGATCACGAGGCCCAAAGGCAGGCAGGCAGGCAGGCAGGCAGCCGGGGAGGGAGGGAGGCCTTCCTTTCTTTCTTTCTTTCCCGACTCAGCCGCGGCCTCCTCCTCTTTCCTGAGGGATTCCTTCCTTCCTTCCTCCCTGGAGGACAGGCCTTGAGAGAGAGAGAGAGAGAGACACCCGGGGGGCCCTTCTGGAGGGAGTCTCCCCCTCGCAGAGCCTGCCCTCCGCTTCCCACCCCGTTCTCAGCACAGGTTTCAAACTCTGCTTCTTGTGTTTTGATCTCTGTTCTGTGTATATTTCAATATGTCTTTTCTAGGAACACGTTTTAATATACATCTTTTATAGAAATAGATTTTTACTATGCATGTTTTATGGATTTTTTTGTGATGTTTATTAGGCCTGGGTAACAACGGAAAAATAGTGAAGAGTAGAGACATCAGACTGGCAACAAAGATCCATTGCCTAGTCAAAGCCATGGTATTCCCTGTAGTCACCTACGGATGTGAGAGCTGGACCTTAGGGAAGGCTGAGCGAAGGAAGATCGATGCTTTTGAGCTGTGGTGTTGGGAAAGTGCTGAGAGTGCCTTGGACTGCGAGAAGATCCAACCAGTCCATCCTCAGGAAATAAAGCCCGACTGCTCACTGGAGGGAAAGATACTAGAGACAAAGTTGAAGTACTTTGGCCACATCATGAGGAGACAGCAAAGCCTAGAGAAGACAATTATGCTGGGGAAAGTGGAAGGCAAAAGGAAGAGGGGCCGAACAAGGGCAAGATGGATGGATGGCATCCTTGAAGTGACTGGACTGACCTTGAAGGAGCTGGGGGTGGTGACGGCCGACAGGGAGCTCTGGCGTGGGCTGGTCCATGAGGTCACGAAGAGTCGGAGACGACTGAACGAATGAACAACAAACGGAAAAATTTGTTTCTAAAATCGATTCGTTTTTTGGGGGTTTTTGCGTTTCGTTATTTAAAATAATTACAAAATTTTCCTTTAAAAAAGTTCGATATTTACGAAATTTCGTAAATGTGAAAAAAATTACAAAACAATAACGAATCGATTTCCGAAACAATAACGAATCGATTCGTTAATGGCGGACGCGACCGTGCAATACGCTAAAAAACCTCCAAATGGGACAGGGGGAACTTCTGAAGCTTAATTAAACCAAAAACAACTATAAAAACCCTTAGAAAACCAAAAACAACTATAAAACTTGCCCCAGACATGCGGAAATAATAACGAAACGACCTCAAAACGATAACGAAACGAATACAATAACGAAATACAAAACATTTACGAAACGATTTAAAAATTCGTTTTTTTAAAAAATTGCTCCAGACTGGTTCGTTATCGTTTTGTAATTGAAAAATTAACGAATTTTTTAACGAATTACGAATCAACGAAACGAAACCGCCCAGCCCTAATGTTTATCATGTGTGCCTCTTGTGACTCAGGGAGGAAGGAGTTCTTCTCGGGATGATGATGATGGGAATCCCTTCACAAGCAGATCCGAGAGTGTTTCCCATGAAATGCAAACTAAAAAGAAATTAGAAAAGAAAGAAATGGGTTCCCGAAGACCAACAAGACGCGCAGGTCCACTCTTACCAAAGGAGAACAACACCAAGCGTATTCTTCACAGCTTGTGTTGTTGTTGTTCAATCGTTCAGTCGTCTGCGACTCTTCGTGACCTCATGGACCAGCCCACGCCAGAGCTCCCTGTCGGCCGTCACCACCCCCAGCTCCTTCAAGGTCACTCCAGTCACTTCCAGGATGCCATCCATCCATCTTGCCCTTGGTCGGCCCCTCTTCCTTTTGCCTTCCACTTTCCCCAGCATCATTGTCTTCTCTAGGCTTTGCTGTCTCCTCATGATGTGGCCAAAGGACTTCAACTTTGTCTCTAGTCTCCTTCCCTCCAGTGAGCAGCCGGGCTTTATTTCCTGGAGGATGGACTGGTTGGATCTTCTCGCAGTCCAAGGCACTCTCAGAACTTTCCTCCAACACCACAGCTCAAAGCATCGATCTTCCTTCGCTCAGCCTTCCCTAAGGTCCAGCTCTCACATCCGTAGGTTACTACAGGGAATACCATGGCTTTGACTAGGCGGATCTTTGTAGCCAGTCTGATGTCTCTACTATTTACTATTTTGTCGAGACTGCTTGTACAAGATACAATACACCAAAATCTACAATAAACATCAGTATGTTGGCTTCACAATCCTGGTTATATGTTTATTGTTGATTTTTGTGTGTTGTAACTTGTACCAGCTGTGAAATATATGCTTGGTGTTGCTCTCCTTTGGTAATAGTGGACTTACCTGTGTGTCTCATGAAATGCAGCCAGAGGCTTGGCCTGACCCTGGGAGTGAGGCCAGGCAGAAAGCAGGGGAAGGGGGTGGGATGATGCCCCTCTCTCAGCTCCTTCGGTTAATTAATTTATTTACTTACTTACTTACTTTATTTGTAAACCACTCTTCTCAGCCATTAGGCGACTCAAAGCGGTTAACAATAAACAGCGGCAAAAATTCAATGCAAACATCATACAGCCATTTAAAAAACAATTAACACAATAATACACTAAGCAAATAACATCAATAAACATCAATAAACAACTCACTAGCGTCTCATAACTAAAATCATAATCGATCCCTTCTCTCGATCCCGCCTGCCTCACAGGCACGCCTGGCGGGGACGAGGGATAGGGCCTTCTCGGTGGTGGCCCCCCGGCTGTGGAACACCCTCCCTGTAGACATCAGACAGGCGCCCTCCCTTATGACATTCCGCAAGAGACTAAAGACGTGGTTGTTTGAGAAGGCGTTTGACTAAGTGCTACAACAATTGGCAATGACGATTGGAACGGAACATGGATAACGAGATTGGATTGTGATTCTATGATGAGACGTCGCGAATGATTTAGTGTAATTGTATTATTGATAGTGATGTTGTTATTGTTGTTTGTGATATTGCTTATATTGTAAATTGTTTTTATATGTTGTACACCGCCGTGAGTCGCCCTAGGGCTGAGAACGGCGGTCTACAAGTCCAGTAAATAAATAAAATAATCCAAGCTCGTCATCCTTTGTTCCGATTTCCTATAATTCATTGTAATTCATTGCACTGCCTATTCAAACGCCTGTTCAAATAACCAGGTTTTCACTTTCTTCCGAAATGCCATTAATGAGGGAGCCAATCTGATGTCTGTGGGAAGGGCGTTCCACAGCCGAGGGGTCACCACCGAGAAGGCCTTGTCCCTCGTCCCCGCCAACCGTTAAAACCGCTAGGCCAGTGGTTCTCAACCTGGGGTCCCCAGATGTTTTTTGCCTACAACTCCCAGAAATTCCAGTCAGTTTACCAGCTGTTAGGATTTCTGGGACTTGAAGGCCAAAAACATCTGGGGACCCCAGGTTGAGAACCACTGCGCTAGGCAAAGGCAATATTTTTGAAAGTTTATATATATACACACACACATACATATTTCTATATTATGAGTAATTATGGCTAAGTAAGCAACAAGAATGGACAAACAAAATGACATTACGAATCGATGGAAGGTCTACTTCAACTGGGTGAAAAATGGGGGAGCCAACAATCACGTTGTTGTTGTTGTTCATTCGTTCAGTCGTCTCCGACTCTTCGTGACCTCATGGACCAGCCCACGCCAGAGCTCCCTGTCGGCCGTTACCACCCCCAGCTCCCTCAAGGTCAGTCCAGTCACTTCAAGGATGCCATCCATCCATCTTTCCCTTGGTCGGCCCCTCTTCCTTTTGCCTTCCACTTTCCCCAGCATAATTGTCTTCTCTAGGCTTTCCTGTCTCCTCATGATGTGGCCAAAGTACTTCAACTTTGTCTCTAGTATCTTTCCCTCCAATGAGCAGTCGGGCTTTAAGAGTCACCAGTGGCTGGATCTGCAAGATTAGTAGAAATATGCTGTGGTTGAGGAGGGAGGGAGGAAAACATAAATATATTTAGAAATATATAAAATATATATTGCAGTGTAAACTAGCGTAATGCCATTAATGTTTGTTGAATTACTCGGGATTTATGCTTGTAGCATTTGGAATATGCTTTGCTGATTTGTGTTTATACTGTAATAAAATATGGTTTAAAATACATATTTATATATATATTTATATGGAGCCCCTGGTGGCGCTGTGGGTTAAACCGCTGAGCTGCTGAACTTGCTGATCAAAAGGTCGCAGGTTCGGATTTGGGGAGCGGCATGAGTTCCTGCTGTTAGCCCCAGTTTCTGCCAATCTAGCAGTTCAAAAACATTCAAATGTGAGTCAATCAATAGGTACCACTCCAGGCAGGAAGGTAACGGCTCTTCAGCTTAGAAATGAAGATGAGCACCAACCCCCAGAGCTGGACATGACTGGACAATGTGAGGTTAAAACCTTTACTCACTCTCTCTCACTCTCTCTCTCTCTCTCTCTCTCTATGTGTGTGTGTGTGTGTAATATTAGTTTGTGGGATTGATATAACCCAAAAACCTCTGGACGAATTGACACCAAATTTGGATACAAGACACCTAACAGGCCAACAAGTGACTCACTCATAAAAACACTGAAAAACACAGCATAAGAGACTTAAAAGCCAAAAAAAAAATGCATTACTAAGCATGCACAGTACCACATATATATACGCAAACACACATAAATATACACAAATAGGTTGTTGTAGATTGATTAGCATTTGATGGATGGCCTGGCAGTGCCTGGGGCAATCTTTTGTTGAGATGTGATTAGATGTCCCTGATTGTTTCCTCTCTGTTGTTTTGCTGTTGTAATTTTAGAGTTTTTTTAATACTGGTAGCCAGATTTTGTTCATTTTCAT